GATCTCGGAAACCACGCCAGAATTAAGAGGACAGTGGAAAAAAGCTTGGTTTGCTCCGATTTCACACTCTGGTCCAACAAAGCAGGTCTGAGTAAGCGAGGTACTGCTATCCTCATACCCCAAGCTCCAAAATATGGACAGAAGGACATGTGTTGGACGGGAAAGGAGACATGACAGAGGGCAGATGGTCCTGGTTTGATATCACATGGAAGGAGGAGGATCTTAGAACCATGAACCTCTATACGCCCAACGCAGCTAGAATTCTTCAATAACGTCAAACAGCTCATCCCGAATCCTCTACCGGTAATTATTGCAGGAGATTGGAACACGACCCTGGATCCAAATATCGACCGCATCTCTCGGTTTGTGCTGATGGGCCCTACAAGAGCAGGAACCCACATTCGAAATATCATGACGGAGTTCGAACTGATCGATCCGTTCAAAACTCTCCATCCTCTTGCGAAAGCCTTTTCTCTAGTTAGGATAAATCAGGCTAACCACATATCACTCTCGCGGATCGACTTCTTTCTGATTCCTGAGCTCCTCCGGGGCACCGTCAAGGAGGCCGAAATTCTGCCTGGAACTGCATTTAAAGGGTTGGACCACAAACCCATATGCATGCTCCTTAATTTTAACGCGCTGGTGGAGAAAGGCCACGACTTTTTCAGACTAAACAATTCCGTCCTTTCCACAAATCGTCTAACAGAGGCAGTCAAATGGAATTGGCTGCTCATGAGACAGGAGGAGGCTAGGCGACAAAATAGATACCAATGGTTTATAAACAGCTATACGGACTTATCCCATACCATATCGGCCGAGTCGAGAAGCATAGCGGCGGAACGCAAAATAAAAAAAAAGGAACTTCAGATTGCTATAACAATCGTCGAAGAAAATCTTACATCAGATCCCACTAACGAGTTCTATTACGACCTACTCATATCTCCCAAGGAGGAACTCAACGAATGGCGGAGATGGGAACTAAGAGGCCTGCAACTACGCGCCAAGATGACTGATTACACCCTTAATTAGTCTATGACCAAGTTTTTCTCTCAGATTAAGTCAAACGCTAGAAACAGTATGACCGAAAGGTTGAAGGACCCATTAAACCGAGGGTCAATGAAATCAGCGGGCACATACTTGGTAAGGATAGCCAGGTCCTTCTACTCAGACCTCTACGAGTTCAAGACACCTTCCCCCCCCTCCACTACAAACCTAAAAGCTCGTCAACATATGTTGTCTTACCTGGACAGGACGATAACGCCGAAACAAACAGTAGGCTTAGATCAACCAATCACCCTAGGGGAGCTCCACATAGTATTATCCCATATGGGGAACGACAAAGCTTCAGGGATTGATGGTCTCTCTAAAGAGTTTTGGATCCATTTTTGGGCGACATTGAGAAGCGACCTCCTCAATTTTATTAATGGCAGCAAGACAAAGGGTGGTCTGGGCCAAGTCCTTAGCACCAGTGTGGTCTCCCTACTCCACAAGAAAGGGGATAGAGAGGACCTAAGGAATTACAAACCGATCTCACTCCTCACAACCCCCTATAAAATCCTTGTGAAAACATTAGCCAATAGGATCATAAAGCTCAATGACAAATGCTTCCACATCGATCAAGAAGGGTTCATCCCGGGGCGATACATCCTAGACAACGTGATGACCCTAAATGAGGCAGCAAAGAAGATCAACGGAACAACGAATGCAGGCTGCTATCTTGTTCTTTGACTTTGAAAAAGCCTATGATCAAGTCGATTGGGACTTCCTCCACAACTAAATGGAGAAGATGGGAGTTGGACAAAATTTCAAGGAATGGGTCAGAATTCTTTATGGAGATGTCACTGGAAGAGTCCACATTAACACAATACTATCTGACTCCTACCCGATATCAAGGTCCATACGCCAAGGTGACCCACTAGCCCCCCCTTCTTCCTTTTCATCATGAAAGCCATAGCCTCGTTCCTCCGTAAGGACCCCTCAATAGATCGCCTCACAGAACAAAATTACAACCCCTTACAAGACTTTTCTCTTCCCACTGCGTTGATGTTCGCTGACAATCACACAGTCCTCATTCGGGCGAATAACTCCTCTTTCCAGGCCCTCGTCAGAGCCATGGAGGCCTTCCGACTCGCATCAGAAATGAAGGTGAACTGGCTTAAAACTGAAGGCTGGTGATTAGCAGATGGCACCCCCCCCTCAACCGCCGGATGCATCCACCCCCATGTCATGGTCCACGGGCGACCAAGCACTCCGGTACTTGGGAATCATGATCAACAACGACGGCACATGGCCAGGGATGGGTAAGAATCTAATTGCGAAGTCAATAGCTCGCCTAGCCCCGTATAAGAAAGCATGGGCATCTCTGTTCGGCAGAGCATTAATCATAAACACGGCAATATTCTCTACCTTGCGGCATATGGCATCCATCTGGTTCCCCCCTGACGACGACCTCAAGACTCTGAAGGCTACGGTAGGATGCTTCCTGTGGACTGGGGACCCTAACAGGACCACGTGCATCAACAAGGTTGCATGGCCAATAGTTACCAGGAAACCGCAAGGACATTATAGACCCAAAACAGGAAGCAATCGCCCTTCAGATGAAATGGGTTATCAAGATCCTAACCAAACAATTTCTCCCTTGGACAAAAATGGCCCTAAACAGCATAAGAAACCAGGCACCAGCAAATTCACCACCCAACATGCGGGGCCTCTTCTGGATCATGGCCAAAAAATGGTCAACCAAAATAGGGAGGCCAGCAAGGAGAGTGCAGCATGAGATGACCAGTCAGCCTACCCCCTCGCCCAACCCTTACTGGTCACCGACCCTGAAGGCTTGGCATCGACTAATGGCCAACAAACATGGCGCGCCGAATAACAAAGAGGAAGTCCTCAGGCAGCCTCTCTTCAACAATCCATGGTTATAGGACGCAGAAGGTAATCCCTGGACCCTCCACGCGAAAGACCGCAGATGGCTGACCTGGATGGAGAGAGGAGTGTGGCAGATCAAACATCTATGGTCCACAGATCGAGATGACTGGCTGACTGACCAAGAGCTTCACACCTCTGTTAGGGGGTGCCACTCATTGGAAACCAATATAGCAGCGATACATCAGAGCATCCCCACTCAATGGATAGCTCTCCTAAGAGAAAGATTCACGTGGAAGCCAGGTGAATGGGGCTTACTAATCTCCCATACTCCACCCGTGAGGGCCTATCGTTTCATTTCTAGATCAGATACCTCCAGCTACCAATCCAGCTTCTTATCTTACCCCATCTCCAAACACAACCTTCAGGAACTGAAAATCCAGGACGATATCCCTCAAACAGAGCGGCTAGAAACCTTCCTTCTCAGAAAGGTCAGAGTCACCCATAGCAGACCATGGGTCATATTCCAGCCAGAACTTAGCATCGATGACCTGGAATTCGACCCTAAGGAATGGATGTGGAAACAAGGCTCCAACAGGAAATCAAGAACAATTTCCGAATACGATATAAAATTTGGCTACGACCTCGGGTTGCAGATGACAAACCCGAACCCCGGGCTAAAAGAGAAATGGCAAAACATCTTGAACCTAGTCCCCTCGATCCCGTTCACCATTCCCTGGACCAAATACCTTCTTATCAGGCCCGTTAGAATCCGCAGCTTGTAGTTGCTCCTAGCACACGCAGCCCTTCCGGTCAATCAATGGCTCCACAAAAGAAGGAAACACTCAGACCTAGACAGGTCAAAACTCTGCGTTTTGTGCAACAACAACACACCAGAAGATATCCCCCATTGCCTCCTCTACTGTCCCGAAGCGAACTGGATCTGGGACAAAGTTCCGCAACTATGGTCCATCCTCTTTTCAGCGCCACCCCCAAACACTTCCCCTCTAACTATCCTACTCCTCTCTAACACTCCCAGGAAGTTCAAAGGCAGCGAGGAAGTCTGGTTCAATCTACTAAAAAAACTGGCTCTCTGGGTCATATGGAAACGCAGATGCACACGGACAATTGAAGGAGCAGAGGTGTCCAGGGAGGAAATGTGGACTCTTTTGATAAGCATGGTGGATACCGAAATTCGGGCCAGATGGCGGAAAATATCCTCATCCAAGATGCAATCGAGGGTTCAGATTGGATGAGGGGGGCCTCTTTAACGAAGACAAGAAGTGCACTCCCGAGAAGGACAAATTGGGGCTTTAGTCTCAGACGGACAGACATCTCTCCCAGTTTCTTGTCCTTCAACGCCTATTCAACAGAACCAACAGGGTTTCTGAGAGGAAAACTAGGGTAGGGCAAGCTGACAGTCAATCCTCCCAAGCAGGAGTAATCAATGCTGGCCAGGGTTCCTTCTGCCAGATGGAAGGAAGTGTGAGTGTGTACGATAATGTATTCAATTTTGACTTGCCGAAAGAATAGGAACAGGACTAACGCTCCCCATAATGGATATGGAGCCAGGACCATAAGGACCTGTTTAAAAAAAAAAAAAAAAAAAAAAAAAAAAAAAAAAAAATCCGAAGTATACAATGGCTCCTTGCACACTTAGCCCTCCTGGTCAACCAATGGCTTCACAAAAGAAGGAAACACTCAGACCCGAACAGCTCCGAAATCTGCACGATGTGCAGCAAAAACACGCCTGAAGATATCCCACACTGCCTACTCTTTTGTCCTGACGCGACCTGGTTCTGGAACGAAGTTCAGAAACTATGGTCTAACCTTCTTCTTCTGCTTCTTCTTTTTCTTCTTTTTGTTATTACATTTGTTAGCGATAGGTCGCGAGATAAACGACAGGCAAGAAAAAAAAACCAAAAAAAAACTGCTCCGCTCGTCATCCTCTTCTTCTTCTTCTTCTTCTTCTTCTCCTTCTTCTTCTTCTTCTTCCTGTTCTTCCTCTTCGCCGATCATTCCTCCGCCTCTTGTCTCCTCCTCCTCCCTCCCCTCTCATCATCATCATCTTCTTCTTCTTCTTCCTCTTCTTCTGCTTCTTCTTGTAGGACCGTCTCCACAGCCCGCCGCCATACCCCGCCACCATACCGCCCAGCCGCCACCGCCATCTTCTTCTTCTTCTTCTTCGTCTTCTTCTTCTTGTAGGGCCACCGCCACAGCCCGCCACCATACCCCGCCATCACACCATACCGCCCTGCCGCTGCCGCCATCTTGTCCATCGTTTGGTAGGTCGCCATCTCGCCATCCCTCCCTCCCTCCCATCTCGCCATAGTCCGTCCCATCTCCACATCTCGCCATACTCCCTCCCTCCCTCGCCATCTCGCTATCCCTCCCTCCCTCCCGCATGCACACCTCGCCATAGTATCTCGCCATCCCTCCCTCCCTCCCGTCTCGCCATGGTCCCTCCCATCTCGCCATCCCGCCATAGTCCCTCCGTCCCTCCCTCGCCATCTCGCCATCCTTCCCTCCCTCCCATCTCGCCATCCTTCCCTCCCTCCCATCGCCACAATATGTACTTGGTTTCACACATGCAGCAAACAACAGGCAACATACATGCAGAGTCCCCAACAGCCAGAGCC